TTTTATTTTTGTGTGTACAATGTGTTACCATGACGAAGTGGACCTCTCGGAATCCCAAAGAATGCAGAGTTTGGCAAAAAAACAACAAAAAGTGAGAAAGAGCATTTGGATTAATTCTGACATCACTGTTCTTGTTCTTTCACAGCTGGCCCACTTGATCCTCTTATTTGGAGCTCCAGTTCATTACACTAGAAGTAAAAAAACACCTTGCAGAGACGGAATACTATCAGTATTCAACAACAGCTTAAATTTGCATCGCTTAACTACAGAGACTTGTGCTTTTCACAACATTTAAAGGATATGTGACATTAAATTCATCTTGTAAGTATTATATAACATCATGTTTCTTTCGACCAAGTAGATTACTCTAGCAGCAAGCACTCAAACAACACAAAACCTCTTTCATCTTCTTGTAAGATTAAGTTTGGTTATGGGAGTAATAGATGCTATTATTTAGTAAACGGCTTGGCTTGTTGCCCGGGGCCTTGGGAAGATTCTTGCTGATGGACTTAAGGACATGCACACGGCCCTACAAGCAAACACAAGCCCTTCCCTTTGATGGAATCTTGTACTTGTTCCACTTGGAATCACTGAGACATCTCAAACACTGTATACTAAAGCTACTGAAATTGATTCTGAATTTTAACTTGCCTTTAAATAAACATATTATGGATTCTAGCCTGGTTTATACTCAATATCTCAAAGAAATTTGTCATGCAAACAGTGAATGTTAACAAATACATGTTTCATTATTTGGAAACCTCATACAATAACTTCAGTTTTAGATGGTGTTAAATTTAAGGCATAAGATGACATTTTAATATCAGCCTAATTTTGTCTCTGTTGCAAAGTTCAACAATACACACTGTATATCACCAGTCAAAAATGTGGAATAATTTGGATTTTTTTGAAAAGTATTTTATGCTCACCGAGGCTGCATTTATTTGATTCAAAGTAAAAGCTGTGATATTATAAAATATATTTTTTATGAACTATTTTCTTTTTGAATATATTATAAAATGTAATTTCTGTCAGGACCACTATCGTCAAAATGATGGATACTTAGCATAAAGTTTGGTTTGGCGGTATGGTTCTGTTCTGAGCAAAAACCTCCCTGCCCATCCATGCAGCCTGTCATGAATGAGGAGAGCAGCAATAATAACCCCCCCAGGGTTAACAGAACAGAACAAGGCAGATATCATTAATGTACTTAATGATATTTAAGTGTAACACTTTATTCAAGATAAAGGAGTCTGATTAGCAAGGAATATCAGAAAGCTAAGTCCTGACTGTGGCGAAAGGTGGAACTGGGGATGTAGGAGGGTAATTTGCTCATTACTGAAATTTGCTCAAGCTGAAAAGCTGCTGAATAATACTGAATAGAGCTTATATAGGAATGCCGCGATATGTGTCGTATTCCTATAGGTAGATGTGATCAGCTGAGAATCAGCTGATGCAAGCTTGACTCACGTGACCTGCCAGAACTAACGCTAAACTAAAGCTTAATTTATTCCTGTGATGCAAAGCTGAATTTTCAGTATGATTACTCCAGTCTTTAGTGTTACATGATCCTTTAGAAATCAAATATGCTGATTTCGGTGCTCAGTTATAAGCAGTTATTAATTATTATATTATTTTTGTCAATGTTGAAAACATAATAATTTTGTGGAAACCGAGATACGTTTTTTTTTTCAATATTCTTTGATGAATAGAAAGTTAAAAACAGGATTTATTTGAAATATAATTTTTTCCCTAGCATTATAAATGTCTTTACTGTCACTTTTTGAGTATATTTATTTCCTTTTTTTTTTTACTTAATTAACCCAAACCTCTAAATGATGTATCACAGTTTCGAAAGAAATATTAAAGGCAGGGTATGTGATTTTTCAAAAACACTTTAGAAAACTAATTCGGGCCGAATAGCAAAACAAACTTGTAGCCAATCAGCAATAAGGGGCGTGTCTACTCGTGATATGGAGGAGAGAGCGTTCAGTGCACGGGACGGACATTAGCCGAGCCGAGCAACAGAAAGACAGAGATGGCGGATAAAAAACAAAAGAGGAAAACGTCTGCGGAACGATAAGGCAAGAAGTAGGACCCGTGTAAATATCGGATCAGCTTTCCAGCGCTGGAGAGAACTCAAGGAGCGGAAGACCTGCGATCGGACGCCGAGGTTGCTTTGTTTCTTCTCAATAGGTGAGTAACACCGTGTCTACAACAGCTAAAGTCTGCCTACACTGGACGCGATCAAACCACCGTTGAAAACCATTTGAAATTTGTGTCAGCACGTCATAAATAGAACCCGGCAGCAGTTTTCTGTCGGGGATTTGTTGCGCCGCGCCGCGCCGCTCACGTCCGGTGTAGACACGGTGTAACATTGGTTTTGCTTTGTCTCACAGAACTAATCGTTGCCTGGGTTGCGTACGTATGTGTGGGGCGGAGCTATCAAAATATGGGCAAGACCCTTTTGGGGTAGGGGCGTGTTTGTTTTGGTGATTTCAAATATCAACATTGGCTACCAGAAATCACTTACCCTGCCTTTATGCATCACAACTGTTTTTAACATTGATAATAATAAGAAATATTTGTTGAGATCAAATCAACATCAATGATTTCTGAAGGATCATGTGACACTGAAGACTGGAGTAATTGTGCTGAAAATTCAGCTTTGATCACAGCAAGAAGTTACATTTAAAATATATTAAAATGGAAAACTCTTCATTTGAGCTTTAAAGTATAACGTTAATTAGTCATTCAGTTGGCTTATTTATTATATTTGTTGTATATGCATTTCTAATTTAATTTCTAATAGTACTTACACTAAGCCTTGTAATGGACTGGCCATCTGAACAAGCTGTTTCCCTGCCTACGGTCCGAGACGTTTCAGCATCCCTGTGACCCGACAGGACAAGCAGTTTGGAAAATGCATGGATATTGAGTTTGGCCAACTGTACTCATTCAAATTAATGCATGGGGGAAAAATATCAACCAAAATCCAAACTATATTTGAGCTTCAAAACGGTTTGACAAACACACTTTGTCTTGGATTTCCATCTATAAAAGAGCGGTTTAACCATTTCAGGGATTATTGTCCATATAGAGACATTATTAGCTGTGATCCATAAAGCCTGTGCCACTGTAGAGGCTTGTGATTCAACTTCTGGTGCAGAATCACCTTCCCACTCATGCATTTCTGATTATTAGAATATTGTTAGTTTATTGGATTTTACTGATGCTTTTCAACAAGAGGTATCAATAAATCAGCATGTTTCCACATGCTAACAGATATCAAGATCAGAAAAAAAGTATTTCTTACTCTGAATAAGTCACAAAATACTATTATGTATGCTTGCAATAAGATAAATAATAATAGTTTTATATAAAAAATACTGAGAAGGAAGATACAACGTTTGCACATACACACATTACCAGAGGTGTAAAGTATTGGAGTAAATGTAATTAGTTACTGTACTTGAGTATCTTTTCGGATACTTTGTAGTTGTACTGAGTATCAAAGATATTAGCAACTTTTACTCTTTACTCCACTACATTTGAAATGAGTGTTGCAGTTACACATTACATTTTGCATGGACCTAGCTTTTTCTGCTGCAGTTTATTTCTGCTACAAAAGACGTGATACTGCCTATTACAGGCCACTGAAAGCACTGCATCTTGTGCGTTTTGCCCTTACTCACCCAAACTTTTCAACAAGGCTATGTGAATGCGAGTTCCTTAGCAAGTATTTGTGAATCAGAGGTGCTTTATATATGAGATGAGGACATGACTGCAGCCGGCAATGAGGCCCAAACCAACACATCCACTGCAAGAAGGCTTCGGCTTTTTAATTTTACTGAACATCATTTTATTTATCCATTATACCGAGGAGACCTTTTTGGAAGATATTGTTTTTGTTTGTTTTGCAATTTTGAGGTGTTCAGTTGTATTTATTTATTTTGGTTTTAGAAAATAAACGGGATCGGTCTCCTCACAAATCAGCTCTTTCTTGTTTTTGTTTCATGCTCTCTGTGCCTTGCCCTGGACTTTTATGTCACTTCCTGTCTCCCGTGGTGTTTGTAGTCAGTTTGTAGTCCGTTTGTTCATTGGTTCCCCTTGATTAGTCTCCCCAGGTGTGTCTTATCTTGTTAAGCTTGTTAGCCCCCTGTGTGTTTATTTAGCCCTAGTTTTTCTTTAGTTCCTTGTGAGTTGTTGAATGTAATGGTTGTCTGCGTGCCAGTCATTCTGTTCTTTGTTCCCTTTGGTTTTTGGCTTATTGTTTGTTCTAGCTTTTCTATTAAATACCAGCACATAGATCCTTGCCTCTGCCTGTTTTCCGCAGCTTCTCCACAACGTTACAGTTTTTCACTATGACTAGTGCATCTTTGAGCCTATATTTAGTATAAGTAAAATACTTAAGTACTGTTAAAATCAGATACTCTAAGACTTTTACTCAAGTTGTTTTGGAATTGGTGACTTGTAACGTGTAGTGGAGTAATTTTCACTGTAAGGTATGGTTTTTAGGTACTCTACACCTCTGCACATTACAAAAGAAAAATTAATTAGGGGCGAGGGAGCAGCAAATACCAAATGCTAAGAAATGGTTACATAAAGCAGAAATTACTACTTACTTATTTGTAATTTAAAAATGTTTTCATGTGTTCTCTAAAGACTATGCATGCATATTACTGCTGCATAACAAGATTGACGTGACAATTTAAATAAAAATTGATCACAAAAAAGTCACTCTTCAGCTAGATTCCAGCTCTAAACACCCTGGACATTCACTCAGACTTGAGCTACCTCCTGAGATGCTTCTCCAACACAGTGCGAATACATTTATAATATGATTGAATATAGTTGTACATTGTGTGAAGATGTTACACATAGGCCAGCTTGTTTTGGGTCAAGAGCGAGCGCTCGCCTTGATTGGCCAGTGGGAGAGCACGTGACAAGGCAGTCACGCGCTTTCCAGGAACCCGTCAGGAAGAAGATAAACAAAACAAACCAGAGAGGAAGACGGCGTGGATTGAGAAGAATGACATTAAGTTTTCCTAAAGCCGAATACAACACCATTTTTGTACTAGTATATGGGTAGCTTAAAGGTGAGTCATCATTTTGTCTATGACAACGCTGTGAAATGTGTGAGTATAGTTGTTTTAAGGATTATCAAAACATTGTCTCTTGGTGTTAGCTCTCTGGCTAAGTTTCGCTAGCAGAGGGGAGGGACACGGAGGCCATAGTGTGAAAGCAGCGCTCTGGTTCCTCTTGAAACCCTCACTGACAGAGCGCTGTGCTGTGTGTTTTTGCAGCTTGAGGTGCTCGTTTGTTCTTTCAGATCAATATTTTTTCCTGTGGTTGCTTAGCTGGCTAGTCATAGCTGCCGAGTAAGGGTAACTTAGAAGATGTTGGTCGTTCGCTTTCAATTACACGAGAACTTCTAGAACATTTCTTGGACTCCAGCACTGCACCTTTTGGAGATCTCCTCTAGTTGACGCACCCATATCCTTTATGAATAATCTAATGATATAAATCAGGCGTAGTACGTAAAGGTCCTCAGAATTGAGAACTAACGTTCTACGATGTCTTACTAGAATTAACCCCACTAAGTCTGTAAGGGTGCACGCCCCCATCAGCACGATGCGAAGTGAAATTGAAACACGATAGTCGTTCTGGTATCTAGACTGGCTTTGGCACTGTTCGAAAAGATTTTAATGTGTTTTGAGCGTGCGTCAAAAGAAACTCGGAATGCTTTAAAACGCAGTTTGTGATCCGTTTGAACGAGTCGTTTTATCGCAAAATTGATGTTCATATGCCAGCTGCTTTGTTAAAACTTCGAAATCATGTGTTTGTGTGTAAACTAAAAGTTTATAAGGAGCTAATGTTTCGCATTCCATCTGTTTACGTAACATGAGGGAGGCCTGCAAAATTGTTTGTTGCTCGTCGACTCAACCAAGCGCTACGAGAAGGGGCGTTTATGCGTAATTGTGCTTGATTGACATCGAGTCGGTGCAATCGCTTGCTTGCAGAGGCGGGTTATGAATTTGCTTGCAGCCAATCAGAACACGCCAATACGTGGGTGTTGGCGCAGAATCGCTACGGGTTAGGTTGACGCTGTTTGTTTTTGAAGGGGGCCATGTTGAGTTCAGGGTGTTGTGAAGTGTTAGTAGGTCAGAGTAACATATGATCTTGGCCATAACGCACAAATTACGCTAAGCGTTTTAGTGCCATTCATTTGATTTTTTTAATGCAGATGTGTCTAATCGGTGTGAAGTATAGAAATGTGAGCTGTTTAGTAGGTCATACTGTCTTCAAGTAAACATTGCAGGGGTGGTCATCTATAGGACAGTTGAATAAGTCCTAATAAATCCACATCCTAATTTGAATAAGCGAGGAATTATGTGTTTTACCCACCCTTTAACTCAGATGCCTATCTTGAAATTAAAAGATTAGTTCACTTCAAAATGTACTTATTATTCACCCTCATATTTTTAAAAATATTAAAGGGGTCATATGATGCTGTTTAAAAAGAACGTTATTTTGTGTATTTGGTGTAATGAAATGTGTTTATGCGGTTTAAAGTTAAAAAAACACATTATTTTCCACATACTGTACGTTACTGTTTCTCCTCTATGCCCCACCTTTCTGAAACGCGTCGATTTTTACAAAGCTCATCGGTCTGAAAAAGCGAGGTGTGCTCTGATTGGCCAGCTATCCAGTGCATTGTGATTGGCCGAATACCTCAAGTGTGAGACGGAAATGTTACGCCCCTCACCATACTGTGATGGCGTGTCCCGGCCGGAGCGACGACACAAAAACATTAAATCCCATTACAAACGAGGCATTTGTTGCATCCAGTGGGGACATAATTACTGATTATAATGACTTATACTGTATTTTTACGCGTTGCATTGCATTGCATCGTGCCGCGTAAACATAAAACCCTGTCTGCATTTGTGATCAGAGAAATGACAAACAACAAGTGCTACTCTAC